TCTGATATATACAGAACTCTGATATATACAGAAATCTGATATATACAGAACTCTGATATATACAGAAATCTGTATAACTCTCTACCAATCTCAATTAATCTGTCACTAACTAGAACTCTTCTAAAACTCTCTATCAATCTCAATAAATCTGCAATTACTAACTAGATCTCTCTCTCTCTCTCTCTCTCTCTCTCTCTCTCTCTCTCTCTCTGTATATCTGTATTGCTGTATATCTGTTTTGCTGTATTGCTCTATTGCTCGCTTGCTATATTGCTCTCAGCAGCCTTATATAGTGTGCTGCAGGGACTTAGCTGTGAGACATTATTGGGCAGAGCCATCTGCCCAATCATGGCTCTATATTTGTACTGAGCCCTGATTGGCACAGTCTTGCACCTGACCTGTGGTCAGGTGCAGGACTGTAGCCAATTGCCGCATCGGACGGCGCAGTGCATTGTGGCATGTGCCGCGGTCGAACAGACCGCGGACATCCCATAATGTTCGGCGAACGCTCGAACATGCTATGTTCGAGTCGAACATAGGTTCGGCTCGAACATGGTATGTTCGAGTCGAACATAGGTTCGACTCGAACGCGAAGCTCATCCCTAATCGGGACATCCCTAGTACCAACCAGTACAAAGTACCCACTAGAATACTCATTTTCTGATGTGTTTTCATCCAACAGCAAAAGGGCCTAGTCATAGTGATGGTGTAAAACAGAAAAGGGTCAAAGGTTGAACTTGATGGACCTGTGTCCTCAAATACTATGTAACTATTTATACATCATTGTTCCTTTCAAGCAAGATCTCCTAAAGGTACAGTAAAATGTTCACTGATAATGGGTTGGTTTTGAATTATTAGTAAACAATGGTTGTATGTTTAGGAGAACTTGCTTGGAAGGTATGATGATGTTTAAATAGTTCCATCATTTCCTGTTTTCCTTCATCTCTACAAATAAGCCCACGTGTGGACAAAACGCAACAGTTGAGGATCCTGTAGGGATCTTTGTACTGTTTGGTAGAGTCAAGTTGGTTTAATGGGAGAAATATAGGAGAGTGGCTTTGATTATTCTTTGGAATGGTGTACCTCATAGAACTGTTGGCCGTTTACACCCAAACCCATTGTCTTTGGTATCAGTTAGGGATGCACCGATACCTAACACTGATACAGAAAGTCCCATTAAAGAAGCCGGGTAGCATGTAGTGACTCACTAGGTGACGAGGAAGCATGGAGCCGGCTTTCTGGCCAATCAGGAAGCGCAGGGGGGCAGGTAATGACTCGCCGTCCAGCTTCCTGATTTGCCAGCTTCCTGACCAATCAGGAAGCTGGGCGGCAAGTCATTACATGCTGCCTGGCTTCCTGATTGGTCGGGAAGCCAGCTAAAGGCTCTTGATGAGGGAGCATGGAGCTGGCTTCCTGGCCAATCAGGAAGCCGGGCAGCGTGTAATGACTTGACCGCTTCCTACTAGTATCGGTATCGGTGAATCCCTACTATCAGGTTAACCCATACCATATTTATTTCTTCACATAAGCATTCGGCCAGGCATTTCTCACTCTATTGATTGCACTCCCCAATACAGTTCTAAGGGGTTGATTGCCCAAACAGCTCACCATATGCAGTTTCTCAGCCTTCCTTATGCTTTCCATACAACAGCTTCCAAATCCAAGGTTACATTCACATAGTGGCTGTGGCCACTGAACCCATGTAGATGATTGTGCACTGATGTGGGTGCAAGCATTCATGAATATTGTGGCCATGATCACTCAACTTGTTTAAGTGATTGTGCACTCTTATTCAATTCATGCAATGCAATCCTGGTTTGCCGTATGTGCTAAACATCCAAAAAGGTTGCCGTTGTGCCAATATTATGATATAAGAAGAGTCTGTACAATTATCTTCAAATCATCAGTGGGAAATGACAAAAAGAAAATAAAAATGTACATTTGTGAGGTGTTAGGGTGCAATACCATAACTTTTTATTTCAGTGACTCTTACCCATTCACTTGTTTGTATGCAGAAAGAGGAGAGCAAGTTTAGAGAGGAATGAAAACATATTACAGTTTAATTTGTATGAGATTTCCAGGGAATGACCTGGAAATAATATAATCTATACCAGTGATGCCAGCACACTGCAAACCAATGAAAATTGACCTCAATTTCTTTGGGTGGGATATCCTCCAATGAACTGGATGACTGGTGAATGATTTGAAGTATAGATTTCTTGTTGTAACTTAACCCTCTCCCTGCCACCGACGTAAGGCTTACGGCGGATCACAACTGTCTCCAGCTGGCCAGCTGAGTAAGCCTTACGCCGGTTGCTTTCTCCCTCCTGCTATAAGCTCATGGTTGCTATAGCAACCATGAACTTATATCAGAACAGTTCCCCCGATGGTCCCCTTTAAAATAATAGCTGTCATCAGCAGCTGAGAAGCCACTGATGATAGCTATGAACCAAAAATCTGTTCATTTTTTTTACCATTTCGCAAAAAGGCACAATTTAAAATTTACAAATATTTGTTTTTACTAAATCAATACAGTTTTATCTTTTAGATTTAGTCAGAAAATTATTTTTTTTGTGTGCACTGATAATGATTTTAATGTGTTTTTATCAATTTAATTGTGTATTTTTATCGGCTTAATATTGATTTTTCAAAAGTTTGCTCAATTATCGCAGGACCTACAAAATTAGTACAACCATCTTTTTATTCTACCGGGCCTGTACTTTCCAAAAAATATATGGTTTGGGATGTCCTTTACAAACGCTAGCAACTCAGCAATAGAGGATCAAAACAATGGGAAAAATTGCAAAAATGGCGTGGCCAGCTGGTGTAAAGCGTTCCGGAGGTCTTGGCAGCAAAAGGGTTAAACATTGTTCTGTTATTTAAAAAAAAATGAGAGGCAAAAATGAACTTACCTTTGTGTGTAACACGTTGAAATATGTATGCATTTTCTCCGGTAGTGAAGAACTTGAAATATGTGCAGTTAGAATCTACAATAAAAGTTACAAAGGCTTGATAAAAATCAGACAACTGGCAATACATAAATCACGATAACAATAATAAAGCACCACTGCTACAAAAACAATTGGTGTTTATATTTACATTTAGAATGATACATCTGTACTCTGTTCACATTCTTTTAAAATTATTATTTTTTAAATCAATATATTAAAAATATAAACCAAATATTCAGGTTTTTTTTCCTGTTGTTTTAGATGGGGTGTGAAGGTCAGAAGCACAGTCAGGTTTATATTGATGTTTTTATTATTCTTGGGAAGATTTCCAGTCACCTTTTTGTTCTCTTTTTTTCAAATAAAAAAAAGAAAGTGAGGGGAAAATCTCTTCAATGGAAACACACAGCGATAAAACCAAATTTTTAGTGGAGTAGACTAGAACCTTTGTCTGGCTTTTATCACTAAGGAATATACCCAAGAGGTGCTGGGAATTCAATACTGATTTGTATAGGGCAGTGAAGGGAAAACATTCCTTTAGAAAGCTCACGTGGCTCTGGTTAGCAAGCTTGCATGCAAACAGGATTACCATTCAATGGGTACCCAGAAAGTCACTAAAAGCATGGACCAACAGAAGGCACATCAGAACAAAATTGCAAAAGAGTCCAAATTGCTTTAATAGTTGACAAAAAAAATAGTTGCTCAAGAATGCCAGTCACCGCAAATAGTGTGAACGGGCCTTAAAGTGACATTAAACCCTCAGATTTTTTAACATAAACCAATACTGTAATCCATGCCTTACTGTAATCCATGGTTGTTTCCCTTCTCTTTGCTGCTCTTCCTTTTAAATCTGTATCTCTTCTCATGCTGGGGGAGAACTTCTGTTTTGCAGCAGACTGCCTTGTCTCTGAAATGGATGCATGGTGTCCGTGTGTAGGTTCACAACCTGAGCCAGCACTACAGGACAGGAAGAGGCACTCAGCTGCAAAGGGAAGTTCTCTCCAAGCATGAGGAGATACAGATTTAAAAGGAAGAGCAGCAAAGAGAAGGGAAACTACCATGGATTACAGTAAGGCACACATTACAGTATTGGTTTATGTTAAAAAATCTGAGGGATTAATATCACTTTAAGCTGACTGACAGCACAACCCTCATGCCTCCTAGCAGAGCCTCTCTTCTCTTTGTCTCCATTACAAGTTTCCCCTCTCTGGGAGCCCATCTGTCTTTAATAGGCAGGTCTAAAGGGTAGGTAGCTGCCCTCCCAAATTAACCCCCTTTTAGCTCTACCCCTGGTTGGCTTCCTACTTATACGTATATCCTTACTCAATCACAGAAAAACAACTTCCGATAAATGTGTTTAAGCAGGTGTTTGTTATCATTTCAAATGTTCTGGGATTATCTAAATATGGAAATTAGAGATGTGTTATTGAAGCTTGACTTTGAATTAAACTCATTTTAATTGACTACTGTATTAGTGGACTGCCAAACTGAATCAGCTGCAATTGGTGTTTTATTAAAGGAGAACTATGAGGCGAGTGCTTTTCACTCACCTCATAGTTCTAGCCGACCTGTGACAATGAGACAGTCACAGGTCGGCTCAGTAGATCGAGAAGTGAGCGAACACATACCAGCGTTCGCTCACCTCTCGATCCTGTCACAGCTCTCTGCCCTGATAGGGGAGGGGCTGGATTCCCCCCTCCCCACTCCGATCCGCCAGCGCTGACTTGTGGATCAGACAGGGAGGGGGCGTGTACAGCTGGCTCTGCCTCTAGATAGGCAGAGCCAGCTGTCACTCGCACAGCTGGGCGGATCCAGACATAATTGTCGGGGATCCGCTTCAGCTGCGGCGCCTCAGTATACCGCAAGCTGCAGCTCGCGGTATGCTGAGCTTAGGGGGATGGAGAACTATGGGGAAAAGCCTTAACCCCATAGTTCTCCTTTAACCTTTAAACTGCCAGCAGAATTCCAACACCAAAATGCATTGGCTTAAAACAGTGTCCCCACAACATTGGCATTAAACACTGTCACCACAGAACTGGCTTGAAACACTGTCCCCACAGAACTGGCTTGAAACACTGTCTCCTGAGGACTGGTTTGATACACTGTCCTTACAACATTGGCTTAAAATACTGTCCCCACAGGCCAAATTGCTATACTGCATGTATAGTAGTGTATATTAATAATAAAAGCTGGTTCGCAACTCGGAAGCACTTAGAGGTTTAGCCATAGTTTAGATCAGGTCTAATTTGTAATAACATCAGGGTTTTCAACTGGCAGAACACCATGAATATTGGAGCAGCCTGTCTGTCACTGCCTATGATGTATTTCACACTCTCTGATCTCCGACTCTAAAGCCAACACATTTTGTAGCTCCGGTTTTTCATCAGGGTTATGGTGGAGGCAGATGGATTAGCATTCAAAGCAGATGCATTTTGAATTGAAGAATGCATTGACTATATCCATTTGTAGATCCATTTAATATCCATTGTAGCTGCAAAGATTTAACTTTATCTTTGTTGTAGCTTCATATCTCATGTTTTCTTTGTATAGTGATAGTGTAAGCCCCATCAGAATGTGTGTAATGCCAGCTGCATCTTCAGATAATCTACAAAGAGCCATTGTAAAGTATGAATAACTTCACATATGACAGTCCAGGTTTCTTTACAGCTAAAGTTAATGTCTCACAAGGTCTTTTTGTCATTCCTGTTAAAAAAAACAGGATGTTTGGAAAGTTCTATCATCATGATCTATGTATATCCAATGTTCAGTGCATGTTGGACAACAGACATTAGCAAAGGATTGACTGGATGTCTCTGTACCTGCCACACTTCCATGCATTTGTGCTATGTTTTTGGTGGGCTATGTATACCATTTCTGAGCATTAGTGAGCTTATGACAACCCCTATGTGCTGCATTGATAGTGATGCAATTTTTCTGGGGTCAAATCTGTTCAGCCTTATTTCTATAAATATCTCTAGACAGTCAATGGAGAACCATATTGAATCAGTCACATTTTTCAGTGACGTTTATGGCAATTTAATGACATCTTTGTAAATAATTTTAACTTTAAAATGTTGTATGGGCCTTGTGCCACCATAATCCATATCATGCAAACCAATAACTGCTTTGGGTAGTTCTCTAGTACCTGATTTCCCCATTTTTAAATTACATAATTTACAATGTTTAACATCTGCCTTCCCTTATTTTCAATGATAAATCCAAATTGTGATAGTGTTCTTTTTATAATACAACCACAGTTACATTTTCCTGCACTGGTTGCTTTAAAACAAATATCAAATCATTAATTTTATCAGTGGTTCACCATTGATTATCTATGGTAACCCACAATATTGAATCCCACACCTAAATCTACATTTGTATATTCATGGGCCTACAAATGAAAATGTAAAGCAAAACTAAAAATATGAACATTGTTAGCAGGTACAAGTATAGTAGGACGACATAACCTCAGTGCACATATACATGAGTTACAGGACTGCCAATGGCTGACCTGGACAAAGTTAGACCCTAAATAAAATAGGAACAAGATGTCAGAGACTGTGTAAGGAGTAATGAGAGGTAGTGTTGACCTCACATTGCTAAAGGAGGGCACATTAGAGGGCAAGGGTGCCATAACTGGCAAATATATTGCGCATACTTCCACATTATGGCAACAGCTCCAGGGACCCACTGCAGATTTAGTTCTGCTTTAAGCTTAAAATCCTCAGTCGCATCAGTTGGCATTTGTCTAGAGCTGCAGCTAACGATTATTTTCAAAATCGATTAGTACCTCACCAATGGCTACATAAAGTAAATTAAGAGACTAAAACTTAGGCTAGCAATGTCTAATATTAACATTATATTACATTTTATAAATATACACATTTATCACTGATATGTATCTGTATACTGCACATTCCCAGACATCTACAAAGTTATGCACTAATAATATACAACAACATACTGTATACATTCCCAGACTTCTGCAAATCCTTGCTGCGAGTTTATGAAAGACACGCAGCCCAACCAATTTGCGTTCTTATCTGCGTCAAAAGAAAAACATGGCTGTGCAATCATCCTGCAAACATTTCAAGGCTGTGCCCGTGAATGAATGAAAACCAGGCATTGAGCTGTTTCCACATTTACAGGTCTTGCAATAGCCTTGCTAAAGGCATCTCCATTCTGCAGCACTCAGTTCCAGTGTGATTCTGAGTTTGTGTGGGCGTCCTGCATAAGCTTCACCTGCAACTGGTACAAGAGATAACAGCATGCTGCTGCAGTCAGAATTCTAAGGTGGAAAAGCCTTCATCGGAAAAAGAGAAAATGGAAGAGCGAGCCAGCTTGTTGTAGCAGGAAGCACGATCACAATACTTCCTGAATCCTTATCTCTTACTCTGCCATGTACACATTATTTTGCATGCTTCACAGAAATCTGTGCATTATTTTCATATTAACTATAAATATGACATCCTCTTCCTTCTTCCTTGAGACATGTGCATCTCCATTTAAAGAGTAAAGTCATGATCTGTTTCTGCACAGAATTGTTTTTTACATTCTTAATAGCTGCTTCTATTGTGTTCAGCTTGGGATCAGATTTTCAATGCTGCAACCTTAAACAACTTTAACATTAAAATGAGCATGATCCAGGCACGGTGATCTGAGCACGGAGAATTTCATCAAATTCCAAAACTTTAAAATAGACAAATCGGAATAACACCTACTTTATATTTTTACATGTTCTCATTCACATTGCTGCTTACATTTTGAAGTGCTTTGTACTTGCTTAAAAATGCTACCAGTTTACTCTAATTAACACTTTCAGTCCTGTGCTGGCAGATTTCATTATCAGTTGTAAACTATAGTTGACCACTGTCCTAACAAAGGGTTAAAGACTTAGAATCATTGTATGTTAAGGAGATGTTCAGTCTGTACCTTGGTTTGACCATCTAGTTTCACTTGCAAACTACTTTGAGTACCTTTTAATCTGCACAAAGGTCTTCACCAAAGAAAAAGTAATGAAATATATTTTAAAAAATGATTTATGGGCATGCTGTGTGAATGGGAAGGCATAACAAACATATAGTGGAGTTTTCTCAAATTTGACTGCAAACGTTAAACTACACTTTAAGCAAAACACAAAACCTGGTAATAAATATGCTGCATGCCTTTTTATGGTATTTTTTTTAAGCACTGTGAGAAAGCAAATTTATTTTACATAACATTTTGGAACTTTAGCAGAAAAGTAAAGTAGTTGTAAACACTGATAGAATGATATTTGCTAAAGCACTGTGCATCATAAACCCTTACCATTGTCTAAAATAAAATTCTTGTTTTTACCCTAATTTTTATTATTTGTTGAATCTCAGTGCTGCTGATCCCCTGCAGGCTCTTTTCAGTCACTTGCTATCTACAGGTATGTATTCCAGTAATGGCAGCGGTGGGTGGGTTTTTTCAGGGTACATTTTCTGATGGAACAACAGTTGACCATGCAAATGTAATGTGTTTTGAAACAGCACTTGTAGTCTCCATCTAAAGCTCATGTTACAGAAGAGCAAAGAACTAAAAAAATGGGAAAGCCAGGACTCCAATACACGTGACATTTTTTTTTTCCCAAAAGGAATGCAGAAATAAAAAACAGGACTGAGATTTGGGGAACTCGCAGGTCATCTTTGAGTTTATTGAGTCATCTTTTGAGAATATTATTGCACCCTTATAAAGGTGACTTGCTAGTCCCTAAAATATCGGCCTGGCTTTTCCTTTTTTTTTTTTAAAGTGAAAAAATTTTGAGGATTTTGGATGCTGGCTTCTTTCATTTTTGTCCAGGTTAGCAACAAAAGAGAACAATTTAGAGATGGGGTGGGAACATTGTCACCCTATAACAATAAGAGCCCAAACGAGGAGCTTCATTGCAGGATCACCACCTCTTCTTTACTGAAAGCTGCAAATTTAAAAAAGACTGAAAATTACCTTTGACATTAAAGTTTTCTATGAGATGTTAGAGTCTATGTTTAGATAAACTTTATAGCTTGTCTTCTACTTCTACTTTTATTTTATTTTTACAGATTATATTTGTTTTCAAGAGTGAGAAATAACAATTACAAAGAGAAGAATAAATTCAACAAGAAAAAGCAAGCATTAGCCCTTTCTCTATAAGTACAAGATCTGCCCACAGCATTCTCCAAAGCTAGTCTTCCAATGGGCGGTCAGATATTGGGAGCAATAGTAGAGAGACGGCAAAGTGTATACAATAAAACTAAGAAACCAGGGAAGAAAGGGAGAGGGTAAGTAGGGAAAAAAAGAGAGGGACCACTTTGCCTTCCTGGCGGTATGATTTTTTTCCCCTTTATCCTCTCTATCTTTTTTTGGTTGTTTTTCAAATTTCCCACAGGTTCCGCGCCCTGCGACATGGACGCTCGCAAGGGACGGAACCCTGAAGACGGCAGGGGCCGGAGGACACAGCGTGGATCGCGGACAAGGTATGACCTACGCTGTATTCCCGAGTGTGGCTCGGGGTTACCGCTTTGTTAACCCCTAGCCACACTTGGGAATAACAATGGATATGCGCTGAAATACGCCCCACAGAAGCTCTTCTACTTGTTTGGGCATAGGGCGTTTTTCAGCGAGTTTCCACCGGCTGAAATACGCCCAGGTGGGAATCATGCCCATAGGAAAGTATGGGATTTCACTTGCTGAGCGTTTTTCAGCGCTTCGATCAGCGCTGAAAAACGCCCAGGTGTGAACCAAGCCTTAGAGGACAGAAAAGACTCCAGGGAAGAGAACAAACAGGAGGGAAGGGGAGCAGGGGTACTCAGTCAGGAAAGCAAAACCCTGTAGCAATACAGGTGAAACTCGAATAATTAGAATATCGTGCAAAAGTTCATTTATTTCACTAATGCAACTTAAAGGTGAAACTAATATATGAGATAGACTCATTACATGCAAAGCAAGATAATTCAAGCCGTGATTTGTCATAATTGTGATGATTATGGCTTACAGCTCATGAAAACCCCAAATCCACAATCTCAGAAAATTACTATATTACATGCAATCAATAAAACAAGGATTGTACATAGAACAATATCGGACCTCTGAAAAGTATAAGCATGCATATGTACTCAGTAATTGGTTTGGGCCCCTTTTGCAGCAATTACTGCCTCAATGCGGCGTGGCATGGAAGCTATCAGCCTGTGGCACTGCTGAGGTGTTATGGAAGACCAGGATGCTTCGATAGCGGCCTTCAGCTCTTCTGCATTGTTCGGTCTCATGTCTCTCATCTATGCAATGCCCCATAGATGCTATATGGGGTTCAGGTCACGCGAGTTTGCTGGCCAATCAAGCAAAGTAATCCCACGGTCATTGAACAAGGTTTTGGTGGTTTTGGTACTTTTGGCAGTGTGGGCAGGTGCCAAGTCCTGCTGGAAAATGAAGTCAGCATCCCCATAGAGCTCATCTGCGGAAATCTCCTGGTAGACGGCACAGTGGACCAACACCAGCAGATGACATGGCTCCCCAAATCAACACAGACTGTGGAAACTTCACACTGGATTTCAAGCATCTTGCAGTGTGTGCCTCTCCATTCTTCCTCCATACTCTGGGTCCTTGGTTTCCAAATGAGATGCAAAATTTGCTCTCATCAGAAAAGAGGACTTTGGACCACTGAGCAACAGACCAGGTCTGTTTTTCTTTAGCCCAGGTAAGACGTTTCTGACGTTGTTCGTTGTTCAGGAGTGGCTTGACGAAGCCATTTGAAGCCCATGTCCAGGATCCGTCTGTGTGTGGTGGCTCTTGATGCACTGACTCCAGCTTCAGTCCACTCCTTATGAAAGTCCCCAACACTT